GGAGTTGCTTGGCTACCGCATATCCTCTTTCTGCAGTCATGTGAAGGCAGCTACGTATGAGGTCTCTTGGTTGCCCCCTGGTGTACTGTTCAAGGTAGTACAAACAGTCTCCTTTACAACTGGTCTTCGCTTCCACACAATGTTCAAAGGCTTTCATAAAGGAGTTGTACTGTAAAGGATCGCCATCATAGATGGGAATTTCTCGGTGTGGCAGTAACTGGCTTGTTTGCATTTGAACCAGAAGAGATGTTATATCATTCTGTTGTTTCAACACATTATAAAGTTCTCCAGTAGGTTGATTTTGAGTTGATGGAAACAGACTGGTTAGAGTTGTAGCCTTGGGATTGGGTAACATAATGGAAGCTTCCGAAGTTCAAACAGCAGGGGGAGCCACTTGTGACACCAAAGTATTGAAAACAGTCTCATCCACCTGCGGTGAAATATGCTTTTCACATGCTGTGCCTACATCTGACTCAACCTTTTTATCCAACAACAGTCCAGAACCTTCTGGAAGTTTCTTTGCAGGTTTGAGCTTAGGTCTAGCGCCCTTTCGAACATATGAATCCATTCCATCAGAGTGCCTAGATGTGATGCTGCCTTTAGTGCTGCCCTCTAGTACCATTAGCTTGGCATTAGCAGCAGCTATTTTAGTGTCCATCTCAAGCTGTTCTTTTCTTTTCTTTAGCAGGTATTCCTGCTCCTCCAGCATATGCTTCTCTTTTAAAGCGGCAGCACATGCCAAAAGTGCAGCCCTTTCTGCTTCTGCTTTTATTTGCTCAGAAAGCGTCGAAGATTTGCTGGTTGTTGTCGATGAACCCTTTTGGCTCCCAGCTTTCCTAAAAGACCTTACTGAAACATTTGAAATGCTGTCATGAGGTTCAATCTGCTCATTGTCCATCATGATCCCGCCACCACTGGGAGTTCTTGATTCAGTTTCATTGTTATTTTTACTTTTACTTTCTTTAATATCATCAGACACACCAGCTGAGCCACCTTGAGCCTCAGCCAACCATTTGTGCGTAGCCGCAATAAAATCATGAACATTCAACATTTTTGCTTGAAACCATATGTCATGTTTGTGCGCTTCATCCACAGGCAGTAATCCTAACAAACCCTGGTGAACCTTTTGTGTTTCTTCAGTCAAACCCAAAAACCTTTTAAATTCTCCCTTAATGTCACTCACACACCTTTTGTCACTTTACAACACTGTAATAGCTTGTCTTAATTTTGTGAGCTTGCTTAATTTTGCTTTTCTTTCACTTTCTAAGCTACTAATTTTCATCAACAAAGCTTTAGCTGTTAATTTCACTTGTCTTTTTCCAATCTCCCATTGAGAACTTTCGTCATCACCCACAATGTTACTTTGACCCTCTTGATCCAGAGCGATGTTTTCCTCTTCTGCCATATTTGGCAACAGCTTTAAGTTTATTGGCAAATAGTAGATTGATTGTAGAGCGCTCTCCTTTGTTCTAAGCAGTCTTCAGGCTGCTAACAATGCATTGGATTTAAGCTCGTCTCTTGATGTGCGCACGTAACCATAATGGTCATTCATTGATATCAGCGCTGACCCACATACCCCAATGATGCGTTGGCCGATATTGATGATCTCCGTCCCGAAGTCCGCTGATACGAATCTCAGTTGCTCCAATAGCTCGATCCCTGCAGCTCTCCAGCTCCGGTACGGTGTCCGACTCAGCGTTAGTGGAACCCCAGTGCAGAAGGCTCGGTGGAGCTTTCAAACGAACTTTCAAACGAAGACAGTTTTTTACTTAATAATGTAGCGTCCAAAATCCTTTACTTTAGGGCTACTAGTGGTTGCCTCTGGGTGTAGTTCGTTTTTACGTGCGTTCGGATTAAGTTTCAGAGTAGTGCTCTTCTTTAGTATGAAAGTCTTTTATTATAATTTCCATTTACATACATAAAGGTTCGTTTCTAACCCTCAAACCGAACACAGTAAAAAAAACTGTGTCCTCTTCCCAAAGGTCAACACCTGAACACCATTACAATCGACCTTAAATAACCCATCCCCCTCAGACACTCAGAAAACAAAACAATACGCCCTCTGGTGGTGACAACAATTGGCTCCTACAAATATTAATAAATAAAAGTAAATGTGAACATTTTCTATTTGAGTTGTTGCTTAAATTGTTTACTTCATTTTGTTTGGTTATAATTACACAGAACAGTTTCTAAATGGAAGTTCAAACATAAAATGGAAACCTTCATGTTCCTCCTATTCATATCTTGCAAATCAAAGATACAAAACCCGTAACATTTCGGTTTGGAGGCTCCCCGCAAAATTGTCCTGAGGGTTGAACAGACGCGTAGAGAAACCAGAAGATCCAGTTTCTGGTGAACATTGATGCTTTTCCTCTGACGTAGATCTTCCGACTCATCCATCTCATCATCACACCTGGGTTAAAGTGCCTGAAGCTCAATGTCTGATAAGAACATCTAAAGAGGAACCGGAGCAGGAAATAAAGCAAAAGCTGAAGAATCCGCAGCGTCTGCATCACCTGCAGAACAAGACAAGCTGAATTAAAATGCTGAAAACGTTTTTTACGTGTTGGTGTTTCTCGCTGTCTTCAGCCTGGCCTGCTTTGCTCTGTTTCTGTTTTACTCCGAGAACAGAACATTCATTTTTATCATAGCATTCAACAGAACCGCGAACCCAGAAGAACCTGCAGATCCGACAGTCCCACCAAACCCCACAGGAAGTTCGGGGAGGACTTTGGATCCGTGCCCCGACGTCCCTCCGGGCCTGCAGGGAATTCTATATGTGGAGTTCAGAACCAAGCGGACCCTGCAGGACGTCCGGAACCACGTCGGCCCGGACCTTCAGCAGGGAGGCCGGTACCGACCGACCAGCTGCAGGGCGAAACAAAAGGTTGGTGAAGTAAAACTGCTTGGTTAAAAATGCAGGAAGTTCATGAAATATTAAAGTTTTGATCCACTGAACATAAAACATTTTTAAAAAAAAATAAATAAATATTTTTTTAAAAAATGCGAAATTTTATATCAACAGGGAAAGATTTTGATTTCTTTTGATATTAAAGTCAGAATGTCTGCAGACTGATGAACTAGAATGTTCTGAGACTTTAGAGATAGAAATTTCTGTAGATTAAAGAAAATGTTTCCTCCGAAACACAAATAAACTCAGATGTTTAGAAAGATTCAAATTTTGACCAAAAAAAGTGAGAAATGAACAGATTGTTGTAGAGCCATGTTCTGCCGCCAGGGGTCACTGTTTCATCCCTTCTTACTGATTTATTTATTGGAGAAAACAAACATTTTGACATACATAAAAATATGAAATGTTCAAAGGTTCAAGGATGAAGTAAAACGTTTATGTTCCTACAAAACAGTTCAGGTAAAATACAAAAATATAAAGTGATTTTATGCTTTTAGTTTCAGTACATTCAGGTCTACATGTTATTCAACTATATTTTTATTATGTGTTGAGTTTTAGATTTCTCTTAAAAGAGCCATTCATTTCACACAGGGAGTCTAAGTCGTTTTTTCAGCTCACCTGGATGAAACAGTCAGGTGATCAGCAGAACCCAGCAGAACCTCCAGACCCAAACGGTCTGGACCGGCTGGTTTTAATGTCTCTGCTCCAGAACAGCTGATTCAAACGGTGTTATAAAGTTCTGCTAATAAATGAACCATCATTTGATTTGAACTGAAACCCAACACACCGTCCTGCACACTGGACTTTAACAACCACAAGGTAGTGAACGGAAGCAGCTGGAAGTCTTCTAAATTATAACTTCATGTTTTACATAGAAGTATACAAATGTTATATAGTTATGAATTTAAATAAAACTTCAGCAGCAAAATCTTGGTAAACATTTTAATAATATTCGAGATGTTGAAAGAACCTTCTGTGTCACAGCAGAACCAGCTTCTTATTTAAATCCTGTCATTGCATTTGGGTTTATCCATCCATCCATTTTCTGAGCACCCTTCTCCCTAACGGGGTCGGGAGGTGCTGGTGCCTATCTCCAGCTGTGTTTCAGGCGAGAGGCGGGGTACACCCTGGACAGGTCGCCAGTCCGTCGCAGGGCCAGTTGGGGTTTATAACTCAGATAATTCTGCACAGATTCAGTATTTTGTTTTACATCCCTCCACTAGGTGGCGGTCATCATCCCGTTCAGAAACCGTCATGAACACCTGGCCCACTGGCTCTACTACGTCCATCCGGTCCTGATGCGTCAGCAGCTGGACTACGGTGTGTACGTCATCAACCAGGACGGAGACGGAGTGTTCAACCGGGCCAAGCTCATGAACATCGGATTTGTTGAAGCACTGAAAGAATACGATTACGACTGTTTTGTCTTTTCGGACGTAGACCTGGTGCCAATGGATGATAGAAACCTCTACAGATGTTCTGATCATCCCAGACATTTGTCTGTCGCTGTGGACACGTTCAAGTTCGTTCTGCCCTACGCCACCCTCTTCGGCGGAGTCTCGGCGTTGTCCAAACAGCAGTTCCTTAAAGTCAACGGCTTTTCAAACACCTTCTGGGGCTGGGGGGGTGAAGAGGACGACATGTCGCAGCGGATCTCTTACAGAGGGATGTCCATATCCAGACCAGACTCCGTCATTGGAGGTACAAGATGATAAGACATGATAGAGATTCTCACAACGATCCAAACCCAGTAAGAGTCGAGAAACTGAGAGAAACGTATTTTAATATGGGCAAAGATGGGCTTAATTCTCTGGATTACACAGTCAAGGAGATTAAGAAGAATTTATTATACACTTTTGTTTCAGTGGATGTTTAGGGTCCAGCAGGCTGATGTGGATCCAGATGTTTCTGTCTCAGGGTTCAATCAAAGCAAAACTCAACTTAAAACCAGGAGAACAAAAACTTTGTCCGATCTGGTCAGTCCTGCAATCCACAGTACAAACGTTTTATAACGTTCAACTCAGTCCAAACTGGAAACGATGCAGCAAGCATGTGGCGACTGTGGACAGGAACATCCTACATTAAACGGGTTGAAGCCTCCAGCAGAACCACCTGGTGGATCAGGAAGGCGGGTCCATTTTATGAACTGACAGAACTGGATCTTCAGACCAAAGTAAAACTGGTTTTACTTGATTCTCCTAAATTCAGCCATGATGTTTGATTCAAACCCTGAGGAGCAAAAATGGATTTTAATTTAAATCATTTTTATATACTGTAAACGGTAAAGGGAAGGACTTTATTAAATAAACAAAGAGGGATGATATGTAATGAAGTGATTCATATAAATAGTCTTATAACATGTTTCTAAGGTTATTGTACATGTAAATATGAACCTGGTTGAAGGAAAGGTTAAATATGATTTAAGTTAAAATGAGTCTTTATTCTCGTTCAGTCTCAAATGGTTTCAGTTAAATGAGTTTTATATGCAGTTTCTGCAGCTTCCTCATAAAGTAGAGAACAGAGGAAGTGAGCAGCTGCTGGACTGCAATAATTTATGGGATTCAATGAAAATAAAACTTATTGTCCTAAACAAAACATTGTCCTGATTCTGTTAGAGAGGCAAAGCTGAACCAAACTACTTATATATTTAAAGATATTATTATTAATGTAGACTATGTCTTGTATGGTAAAAATGTGCAAAGATTATTAAATTGAACATAATTTCCTCAGAAAACATTGTAATTAAAGCTAAATTGGTCTTGAAATCCTAACATCTCAACAGCCTGGCTGCAGGTCAGACCTGGAGAAATGTTCTCATCTGACAACAAACCCAAAATGAATCCCAACCTGAACCGTCTGTTTATGTGACTGGAAAACTCCAGTGGACTTTGTTCTAACAGGTTTAACTGGAAACCAGTATGTCCAGTATGGAGCTGCTGTCAGAAAAACCTCAGGCTGATTTACTGCTGGGCATTAAAAGATCAGGAAGAACTTCAGTTTTTTCTGAAATGTTTTGTAATTTTCAATGAAAATAAATTAATTTGTCTTTGAAATACTAAACTCATTTAAAAATATTTAATATTTTTTCTGTGTAATCTGATGAATGAATGAAACCTTTAAAGCTCTATTTGGTTTTCTCAGAAAACATTGTGATGTATTTATCACTTATTTGACATTACAGTAGATACTATTCACATTCATTTATAAATATTTAAAACACTCTTCATCAAACTGGAATAATATAAATAACAGAAATGTGACATGAAGATAGAAAAGCTGCAGTTTTTATTCCTGGTTTTCAGTAACAATAATCTGATATGCAGTTTGTAGCTTCAGTAGCTTCCTCATGAAATGGAGGCAGACAGGAAGTACGTAGCTTCTGGTCCAATCTGATTGGCTCACAGTGAAATCTAAAGAAAACAAGAAAACCACATCAAAGAAATTCAACTAATTGAAACAAAACACAGAGGTAAAGTGTTTCAGTTTTAAATAAAGAAGTAAAGAGTCACTTAAGTTTTAAAATAAATTCTAAACTTTACTTCAGTTTGATTTTACTGGAAGATTACGTGTTAAATGTTTCCAATACACTACTGCCCTCTGGTGGTAACTGCACATATAAATATGTTTATAATTCACTAAAGAAGCAAACTTCATGTATTTGACTCCAATCTACATAGATTGTGTTAAATTAGTTGCATTTTCTGTGTTTTAGTCAAATGTTGTTAAATGATTCATGTTAGTAAAACATTTATGAACCTTTATGGTTCAAAGGACCCTTATGGTCCTTTGAACCATAAAGGATAACTAATAGACCACAGGCAGCACAGGTCTTGTTAAAATAATAACTGCTTGAAAATGTATTAAAAGGAAGGATTTTTAAAAGTCTTACATGAAAATAACATTATTTATAAGCTAACACCAAAACTCTGGAAGATATTTAAAATCCACCAATGAACCTTACAGTTTCTATAGAAATCAGGAGGATTAAGGAGGTAAAGTTTTCCTTCAGGGTGGATCAGAGACCAGCTGTTACCAAGAACCTTAGAGAGTTTCTGTCTTTTGTTGAGGAGTCTGGTAATATTTCATAAATATGCAGCCTGGTCTGTGTGAAATATCGGAGTGATGAACAGGAAGCTGCCATGATGGTGAATAGAGAAACAACTCAAGTTTCAGACAAACAGGAAGACGGTGATTTCAGTCAGGAGACTCACTGAAGGGCCGCAGAGCAAATGGCTTCATCCTCACAACTTCCAGATTAAATCCTGGTCCTTCCCTCAGATAACTGCATCAGAAACATCCACCAAGAGAATATTGATGAGTTATGGATTGGTGGAGTTATGGATTGATGAGTTATGGATTGATGAGTTATGGATTGATGAGTTATGGATTGATGAGTTATGGATTGATGGAGTTATGGATTGGTGGAGTTATGGATTGATGAGTTATGGATTGATGGAGTTATGGATTGGTGGAGTTATGGATAGGTGGAGTTATGGATTGGTGGAGTTATGGATTGATGAGTTATGGATTGATGGAGTTATGAATTAATGAGTTATGGATTGATGGAGTTATGGATTGATGGAGTTATTGATTGGTGGAGTCATGGATTGGTGGAGTTATGGATTGATGGAGTTATGGATTGATGGAGTTATGAATTGATGAGTTATGGATTGATGGAGTTATGGATTGATGAGTTATGGATTGATGAGTTATGGCTTGATGAGTTATGGATTGATGAGTTATGGATTGATGAGTTATGGATTGATGGAGTTATGGATTGGTGGAGTTATGGCTTGATGAGTTATGAATTAATGAGTTATGGATTGATGGAGTTATGGATTGGTGGAGGCTGTGGTGTGGGAACGCCTTAGAGGAAGATGCTAATGGTACAGAAATAGGGGAGCAAACTGAATGAAGGAGGATGCTGAGTATAGATATGAAACTGTATGTTTATGTTCGGTGGCTCTGGTTTTCATTCTGTTCTCTCAAACTTTCCTGTTGATCGATTCTCTGTTGGATCCTCAAGCTAAACCACGACACAGACTGGATGGAGAAAATGAAAGAAAGTTTTGCTTCACTTTGGTGAAGAAGTTGATAATGGCGATCACAGCAGACAAAGAAAAGATTAGATTCTCCATCTGTTGCTGATCAGCCTCAGCTTTTGTTTTATCACTTTTAGTTTCCATGTTGTTCTGCTTGTTCCTGCTGTTTACTTCCTCTGTTCATCAGCCATTAACATTTGTTCTCAACTTTGTGGTTTATTTGATGCTTATATTGCTCTGAACAAATGTTTTCATTTTAAATAGTTAATGCTTTTAGTTTCTGCTGCTCTTCTAATGTTGTCTGGTTGAGTTCGTGGTGTTTGCGGGTCAGAGGGGCATTCTGACGCATTCTGATGTCGTTCTGATGCATTCTGAGGTCGTTCTGACGCGTTCTGATGCGTTCTGACGCGTTCTGATGCGTTCTGACGCCGTTCTGATGCGTTCTGATGCGTTCTGATGTCGTTCTGATGCGTTCTGATGTCGTTCTGATGCGTTCTGATGTCGTTCTGATGTAGTTCTGATGAGTTCTGATGTCGTTCTGATGCGTTCTGATGTCGTTCTGATGTAGTTCTGATGAGTTCTGATGTCGTTCTGATGCGTTCTGCTGCGTTCTGATGTCATTCTGATGCGTTCTGATGCTTTCTAATGTCGTTCTGATGCGTTCTGATGCATTCTGATGCGTTCTGATGTCGTTCTGATGCATTCTGATGCGTTCTAATGTCGTTCTGATGTCGTTCTGCTGCGTTCTGCTGCGTTCTGATGTCTTTCTGATGCGTTCTGATGTCGTTGTGATGCGTTCTGATGCGTTCTGATGCGTTCTGATGTCGTTCTGATGCGTTCTGCTGCGTTCTGATGTCTTTCTGATGCGTTCTGATGTCGTTGTGATGCGTTCTGATGCGTAACGATGTCGTTCTGCTGCGTTCTGATGACGTTCTAATGTCGTTCTGATGCTGTTCTGATGTCGTTCTGCTGCGTTCTGATGCATTCTGATGCGTTCTGATGTCGTTGTTTGATAAATCCAGGGTTTGGTTCCTGTTGTGGTTCCAGCAGAACATGGTGAAGTCCTGATGATTTCTGTTTCCCTCCAGAGTGTTTTAGGTCTTTCAGGCAGGAAGGCCTCTGCTGTCTGGCGTCTAGTCGATCCAGAAAAGTTTGGGTTGAATTTAGCCTGCAGTTTGTTCAGAGATAAAAATTGTTTTTTTTTTTTTTTTACAGTTCTGGGTTTGATTTGGTGTCAGCTGTTGACACAGATTTAATGTTTAAACCTCATATTTTCTGCCTGAGCTCCTCTGTGCAGGTGTTACAGATCTGGAGCACAGAGTTGATAAAGTTTTTGAACTTCCTTCCTGTTCACTCTTCCTGTTTGCTCTTCTGTTCGCTTTCTGATAAATACAAATAAAAAACAAAAATCTTATTTTTTGTTGTAGCAATTTCCCCCCAAAATAAAATGTAATACCTTTGTAAATGGTGTCTAATAAGGTCTTTAAACATTTTCTGTCTGGTTTTTTAATTCAAATGAATTTTTGTGTTAGTAAAAGTGTTTATTATTTGCTCAAATAAATCATATTCAGGTAGAAAGCAGCAGTTTCTTCATCTAATTTGATTTATCTGACCTTTGACCCCCCCCATGGTGGAGACTGAAGAATAATTACTTTAATATTTTTCCTTTTTGTTTAACGTTGAGGAAAAATATTATTGTTGATGTGAGAAGTTTTGAACTTCAGATGGTTATATATTTTTGATTTCTGGAGAGAAAATTCAATTCATCAAAATCCCTCAGATGGATTTCCACATCTGTTCCTCTACATAAACAAACAATAACTCACACAGTAAACTTACAATTAGATTTCATTTTATAATATTTTGTCTTTCAACAATCTAGATGTGGAAATGACATAATGAAAATATCAATTTGTACAAAGATTTATGTTTCTTTCTCTTTTGATTTTCCAGGGCCCATTAACAGAGGAGCCAGAAAGAAGATAAGAGAATCATCATAAAAGTAATTCCAAGAAGAAACTCGTATTAATCAGGATTCACTTATTAAAACAGAAATGCCTAAAACCAAAGACAAATGTGGAAACAGGTTCTCCTCGTTCTGTTGCTGCAAAACGGCATCAGAACCAGGAGAACCCAGGACTGGAACCTATAATGATACAAGTTATGACTCACTTCCTGAAGGACGGAGTTTTCTTGGAGCATCATCTTCTCAGTCAAAAATAAACCGGATTTTGGATGCAGATTTTCCTGAACAATCAACAAACAAAAAAACTCAAAGGAAACCGAGATGTTTTTCTGGAATGATTCGAGGAAAACCAGATGTTAAAACATTGTTTTATGGAAGAACTCAGAGGAAAATGACATCTTATTGTGGAATGGTTCAAAAGAAACCAGATCATCTGTCTGGACTTGGATCTGAAGAAAACTTTGAATCGCTCTGTTCCTTTATCCAATTGCATGTTGATGAAATCAGTGACAGCGCTGCAGATTCATTTGCTGAGATCAACAGCAGCAGATCCTCATCAGACATTGAGTTTGAGGAAATCAAACCAGCTGCTGAACAAACTGATGGAACTGAACCTCAGATCAGATCAGAAAACAACAAACCTGCTGAAACTCTGACCGCCGTCCTTCATGAACAGCTACAAAACCTTGAGTTAAGTCAGAGGACAAAATCCTCTTCCTGTTTGTCTCAGAGTTGTCCCTCATTGAGTCAGGATCCTACTTTAGACGTCAGTAGACCAGATGCTAACCCATTGTTATATGGAAAAACTGCCAGGAGAAGGGGACTTTGTTTTTCAATGTTTCAAGAAAGACCAGATCATCTGTATGGATCTGGATCTGCTGATCACATAGCAAAGATGTCATCTGAACGGTTAAGGGCAAGAATATGTCCACCTCGAGCTCCACTTCCAGGCTCAATACTTCAAAGTGAAACTGAGGAAATAACAGAAACCAATAAGGGAACACCAAGACAGCCTGAAACCGAGTCAGTCGGGTCTGTTTCTTCAACAAATAGAGAAGAAGGAGGCAGTAGTTCATATTCTTCCCAGTCTCCCTTTGAGACTGGGAACTTTGTCCGGCCTGCTTCTTTATTTTATCCTTTGGATTTTTCAATGTGCAGCCTCAACTCTTCGCTCACAGATACTTCCTCTGCTGAAACCAAGAACCAAGGAAGGTTTTGTTCATTAACTAAAGTATCTGCATCAGGAGCTGCACGAACCCTCCCACCCCTCCCAACCCTCCGACCCCCGACCCAACCTGCTCTCTCTTTACCCCCCAACGTATCGTCACCAACTGTAACCTCTGCATCCACTGCAGATACGTCTTCAGCGAACCTCGACTTCTCTCTTTCTCATCTAGATGAATCACACAGTCAGTATGTGGGACCTTTCAGTCAATCTGGGGCTTCTTATATCCCGCCTTCGTTCCACAGAGTGAGAACGTTTCCACAGAAAGGCCTCCAGAACCTTTTGACCTGCTAGAACCGCCGTGCTTAAAATACAGCAGACAAGATACAGCAGGAAACCAAGATGAAATAATGGAGTCGGTTGGACATGTGAGCGACTCCGTCCCAAACAGATCAGCCTCTGCTGACCTTCTCCTCCCTTCAGCATCTGGTTTGAGAAGAAGAGACCGCAGCGACTCGTCTCCTTCTGTCCTCTGTCCTCTGATTCATCAGGATCCTCCTCCAGACGTCAGTATCTTACCCCGAGCTGCTAGTTTACCCAGCATGAAGCTCCAAAGCAGCTTTGAGGAGTTTACTCCTGGTTTCTGTGGAGATCCAGATGATGAAACCTACCGGTTCCAGTGCTCCGGTCCAGGCCTGTACCAGTGCAGAGTGAGCGGCCTGGTGTTTGCCATGAAGGGAGGAGGAGACGTGTTTTACAGGGTTGTTCCCTGGAACAGGACATTACTGAGCCCACATGGCAAGAAGCCTGCAGGACCTCTGTTTGACATCAGCTGCCTGCAGCAGTCTGTGGCTCAGCTTCATCTCCCTCACTGTGAGGTCCGCTCCACTGGACCATGTCACTTCCTGTCAGTCGCTCATCTCCATGACGGAGGCGTGGAGTTCATCAGGCCTGAGAGGATCACAGAGACTCACATCATTATCAGCATCTCAGGGTTTTCTGCTTTTGGGAACGTCAAGGATGAGGATTCTCCTGCTGACCCGGTCCGAGCCTTGGTTCTGCTGTTCTACAGACCTGCAGCTGATCCTGAGTCAGAACACGAGATTAATGTGTTGATGCTGCCAAAGAACGTTGTTCTCAACAATGTGCTGCGTTTCAGGAGGAAATTAGACGAGAATGAAAGATTCCTGGAGACGCCTCCAGACTGCAAACTGCAGCCGAATCAGGTTTACTCTCTGTCTGTCTCTCCTGGTGGCGACTCGGTTCTGGTTCAGCCCAAAGAAGCCGAGTTTGATGCAGAATCCTATGAAAACTACGTCTCAACGTTCCAGGTGGTTTATGAGGAAACGATGAAACACATCAGACTGTCTCTGACGGACAGCAGCTCCTGCAGCGTCTGGGACAGACGGGTTTGTCTTTCTGCTGCCGGAGTCAGAAGATCCTGTGGGCCGACTCGACAGAACCTCAGTCCAAAGGAGCAACTGATGGAGATAAGGATCAACTTCAAGGATGGAGTATCAGGACCGGTTCTGCAGAGTCTGCTGGACAATCTGCTGAAGGAAAAAGTCATCAATGATTCAGAGATGGAGGAGGTGGCGGCGGAGAGAACCAGAGGAGAAAAAGCTCGACTTCTAGTCGACACGGTGAGGAGGAAAGGAGATGATGCAAGTTCAAAGATGATCCACTTCCTCTGTGAGCTCGACCCGTTTCTCTCTGAACATCTGGGTCTGATGTGAGGAAGAATCTCTGATGGACTTTATTGACCAGGAGGTTCAGCAGCTGATTTTACGTCTTTATTACGAATCCAAAGACGAGATTTACTTTCATTTTTATAGCAGACAGACAATAGAGGAACGATTAATGATCAGCACTGACTGTAACGTCTTGTGAGCATAAAATATAATTAATCACAGAAATGAAGAGACGGCTCATTGTTGGACAATGAGTTTTGCTGACCTCTGACCTCTGACCTGTTCACTGTGTTCTGCAGGGGCAGAAATGTTCAAATAAATCTAAAAATAATTTTTTCCCCTGGATCTGTTAACATTATTGAACCTCAGATTAAATTATTTCTGCAGATTTCACAGTTCAGATTAATATTTCATAAGTTGACCTTCATTTTCTTTCATCTGTCCGTATAAATGTGAGTTTGGATTTTTCTAAGCAGTTTTTCATCAACTGAATAAAATTAAAAATCTGTCATTGAGACATGAAACATCAGACTTATTGAGTAATATGTACAGATTTAGAGCTTCTCCTGTCTTTATATAGAAATAACCACATTATAACGCCAAACCATTCACATTGTGTCACTCAGATATATTATAAACACATTTTATAGTTTGTGGTCATTCATGATTTGACTAGACCAGTGGAGGCTCTTTTCCAACATGGACGACATCAGCAGTGTTTTTATATATTCTGTCATTTTGATGATTGTGCAGAAATAAAACTGGAGCTGACAGTTTCTGTGAACTTTTATTAACTAACTGCCTTTATCTCACTTAGCAGATGAACTTTGACCTTTCTTAGTTTTTAGATGTTTTAAAATTAGTCTTGATTAAAGTAGTTAGAAATTTATTTCCCAGTTTTTTTTAATTCTCCAAAAGTATCTTTCAAAGTTTAGAAAGTTTTTAGCATAAATTTGCATAATGAGGTCTTTGTTCACAATTAAAATATGTGATGTCATCACATCTCATTTAAATAAATTTAAATGCCATAAATGTATTGTTATTTACAGTCATGCAGAATATTCCACTCAATGTTAGGAAAACATGCTGTGGATTAAAAGCCTGTTAATGTTTAACTTGCAGTCAGTCAGGTGAGTCTGGAGCTGCAGGTGAAACATTTAGGATCAGTTATATCAGGGCCACAAGGGACAATTTATACATAGTTTTATGGCTATTTGTTTAAAAACAATATTTAATAAAGAAATGCTACATCTCTTCCCTTTACAGAAAAGTTTTCAGTTCCGGTCGTTTCTTCAGTGTTTCTGAGTTTCTGAATGTGAGAAACAGCAGATCTGATCCGAACGGCTTCGGGTCGGATCAGGTCCAGAATGAGGATCAACCAGTTTCCTTCCTGGGTCTCGACCTTTGATGAGTTTAGAGGTCAAAGGGATGGAGAAGCTTTTCATCACATCCAACCAAAGAAATTATATTTTCACACTAAATTATCTCCATTATAACCAGTTAAACTTGTTGTGGCTTTAAATAAAGTAAAACAATGAATTCTGAGTCAGATCAGACCTGCAGGTTCTGGTTCTGGTTCGGTTCTGGTTCTGGTCCGGTTCTGGTTCTGTTCCGTCAGAATCAGCTTTAAACACCAACATGAGAACATCTTGGAGTTTTACTGAAAAACAGAAAGAAAAAGTTTCAAGGAGAATTTTAAAAGGCCTCACAGCAGAAAAAATGAAAAATAAAATGTTCCTTTAAATTATTTTGCTTTTCAATTTAAGATGAAGACTTGATTGATATTTGTTAAAGAGAAATGAGAATTTTAATCTGAAAAAGTGAGAAAGGAAACGGAAGAAAAGAGAAAAACAGTGAAAGGGAGGAGAAATGAAAACAAGAGTTGATGGAGGAGGATCTGGATGTGAGTCTCTGTTATAACGGTGAGTCTGATTATCATCAACTCCACTGACAGGCCGGTCCGGTTCTGTCGGTACCGGTCCTGGTTCTGGTCCGGTTCTGTCGGTACCAGTCCGTTTCTGGTCCTGGTTCTGGTTCGGTTCTGGTCCTGGTTCTGGTTCGGTTCTGGTCCTGGTTCTGGTTCGGTTCTGGTCCAGTAAAAGGAGGCCGGACATTTTAAATTGACTTTTTTCCGTTCAGAACAAACCAGGAAGTTAAAGGTTCGGTTCTGTTGGACAGATTCGTCTCGTTGAGTCTCTCATTTCTCTCATTTCAACCTCAGAACATGAACGAGTCAAATGAATAAAATATTTATTTTAAAATTTAAAGTAAATATTTTAATTAAATTTAAATTTAAAAACTGGATGTAAAAACGAGAGTCTCGTTTCCGGTTAGGGACCGTCTGCAAAGTGACGCTCCGGGAAGAAAACGTCAACAAAAGCTATAAAACATTTTTGATACATAATTAGAAGAAAACTGTGTGAGGTTTATTATCCAGGATGAATTTACAGTTTATTTATGTCATCATTAGACAGTGAAGTGAAGCATCGCAGTGTGGAGACGATCTCTGAGCGCATGCGGCTGTTTTCCTCCTGTCTCTTTAAGATCCGGGTCCTCATTACGTCACTAGAGCTCCATTTATGCTGGTTTTGGTTTTTGTGAGTCGTTTTCCAACCTCCTGCTGGTGTTTCTGCAAAGTTCATGTTCAGTGAATGATGCTGATAATTTTCTCACTGCTTTAACTAAAACATTTAACAGAAGAAAAAAAAAACATTTTAACTACAATTACTTTATTTTATGCTTCGATAAACCTCTGAAGCTCTCCTTGCTGGAGTTTTTTCTCCTCCTTGTTTTACATTTAAATGTTTTAAAACAAGTTTTTTTCTCCCTCATCATTATTTCTGCTTTTGATATTTTAGGATGGACAAAATCTGAGGCCTAAACAAGAAAACAAAGGACCAGAATCTCACCAGGTTTCAGGAAGGAGTCACTAAATCCAGGTTAAGATGAAACGAAGAAGAAAAAGTTCAGTTGAAAGAACTTCACCAGATTCAGTGAAGGAAGAAGAAGAAACATCTGAACATGGAGACGACGATGAAGTTGGAACAAGTTCAGCTGGTTTTGAATTGTTGGACACATCTGAGACCTGCAGTCCCATGGAAAGAAGGAGGGCTGAATCCTCAGACCTGTCTTTTGATCGGGAATCTGATGAATTCCAGATGCCAGCTATCGGGTCAATATTAGAAGAGCCATTATATGATGAGTCCAATCCAGTAAGACCTCCACATCAAATGTCATTTCCATTTGTAATAGCCAGCATGCTGTCAGAGACTGAAACCACGAACCAAGGAAGATTTTGTTCATTAACTGAAGAACCTCAAGCAGGTTGTTCAATTGAACAGTTGAGAGCTGAACGAACCCTCCCAATCTTCCCACCCCTCCCAACCCTCCGACCCCCCACCCCTGCTCTCTCTTTACCCCCCAACGTATCGTCACCAACTGTAACCTCTGCATCCACTGCAGATACGTCTTCAGCGAACCTCGACTTCTCTCTTTCTCATCAAGATGAATCACACAGTCAGTATGTGGGACCTTTCAGTCAATCTGGGGCTTCTTATATCCCCGCCTTTGTTCCACAGAGTGAGAACGTTTCCACAGAAAGGCCTCCAGAACCTTTTGACCTGCTAGAACCGCCGTGCTTAAAATACAGCAGACAAGATACAGCAGGAAACCAAGATGAAATAATGGAGTCGGTTGGACATGTGAGCGACTCCGTCCCAAACAGATCAGCCTCTGCTGACCTTCTCCTCCCTTCAGCATCTGGTTTGAGAAGAAGAGACCGCAGCGACTCGTCTCCTTCTGTCCTCTGTCCTCTGATTCATCAGGATCCTCCTCCAGACGTCAGTATCTTACCCCGAGCTGCTAGTTTACCCAGCATGAAGCTCCAAAGCAGCTTTGAGGAGTTTACTCCTGGTTTCTGTGGAGATCCAGATGATGAAACCTACCGGTTCCAGTGCTCCGGTCCAGGCCTGTACCAGTGCAGAGTGAGCGGCCTGGTGTTTGCCATGAAGGGAGGAGGAGACGTGTTTTACAGGGTTGTTCCCTGGAACAGGACATTACTGAGCCCACATGGCAAGAAGCCTGCAGGACCTCTGTTTGACATCAGCTGCCTGCAGCAGTCTGTGGCTCAGCTTCATCTCCCTCACTGTGAGGTCCGCTCCACTGGACCATGTCACTTCCTGTCAGTCGCTCATCTCCATGACGGAGGCGTGGAGTTCATCAGGCCTGAGAGGATCACAGAGACTCACATCATCATCAGCATCTCAGGGTTTTCTGCTTTTGGGAACGTCAAGGATGAGGATTCTCCTGCTGACCCGGTCCGAGCCTTGGTTCTGCTGTTCTACAGACCTGCAGCTGATCCAGGCGTCACTTCCTTCCTCAATCTGTTGCTTCTTCCAGCGAATGTTGTGATCCGGGAATTGAAACGGACCAGGAAGAAATTATTTGGGCCGGAGACGTTCATAGATGCTCCTCCAAACTGCAAACTGCATCCGAAGGAGACCTACTCTCTGTCCACCAGCCCTGCAGGAGAATCGGTTCTGGTTCAGCCCGCAGAAGCAGAATTTGACCCAGAATCCTACAACAGCTACTTCACCTCCATCCAGGTGATTTTAAACAGCATCATAGGAGACATCAAGCTGAGTGTGAAGCAGGCGAAAACCTCCTGCTGCGTTTGGGAGAGTCGTGTTTGTCTCGTGGCTCACAGACTGAAACCGGGTCTCCCTTCTGACCAACAGCTGAAGGAAACCCGGACCAGAATCATCGATGGGATCTCAGAACCGGTTCTGCAGAGTCTGCTGGACAAACTGCTGGAGAAAAAGGTCCTGAGTGACTCAGAGAGGGAGGCGGTGGAGGCGGAGAAGATCAGGGGAGACAAAGCTCGAGTTCTGATCGACACGGTGAGGAGGAAAGGAGATGCTGCCGGTTCTGAGATGATCCGGTTCCTCTGTGAGCTCGACCCGTTTCTCTGCAGACATGTGGGGCTGATCTGTGAGAAAGTGGAACCAAACCAGTAAATCATAAACTGAAGGGAAAATAAGGAGCCATAAACTCAAAGACCTGTTAGAAACAAACTGAGCATCAAAATCATTGATTATGGACAAAACATTTATCTTAAATTGGACTCTTATTGTGAAATCCTGTGTTTCTGTGTTGGAATATTTGATGTTTTTTATTGTTTATAACAGACAGTTGTTGGATAATTAGATGTTTTCAACCTGTTTTGTTTACTTTATTGATGTAGCACCAATTTACAACAAAGTCAGTTAAACAAAGTACATAAGGTCAGAACTCAGCTGCTAATGCTAGTGCTAAGGATATGCTAATGCTAAGGCAGTAGCTTTAGCATTCTGGTTGCCATACAAATATTAATATGTGTATTCATGGTACTTTGAAAGATCGATGAATAATTTTGCTTCCTCTAATCCCAGATGTGACATCATCAGGCCTGTCTGTTCTTCAAGCCGCCATTTTGGTAGTCAGTCAGTAGAAGTTTGTTCACATTATATTAATCTATCTAAAAACTATCTATTAAGAATTAATTATCCAAACTAATCCAAGCAAATGATTTTTCAAAGATTATTTTATTACATGAGTTTGTTTTGAATTGTAAACTGGTTGTTGTTCTTAATTAGCATTGAAGCTAAGTTAGCTAACAAAGTATATTTATAATCACACATTATTATATGTGTAATATATTTGTTCTGCTATTTATTCAGAACAAATGTCACTGAATTATTTTACTGTTTTTATTCTTATTTAATTTTTTTAGTATTCTGTTTATCTTTTCATTTTACTCAGCAGTTTAGTTGAATGTTTCCAGCCTGATTATATCATTTGAAGTATTTTAACTGAAAGTTTGAAGTATTTTGTTGATAAATTCTTATAGTTTAGTTTCCTGTTTATTCTGTATATATTGAGAAATTCATTCTTTCATATTCTGTAAAACATTAACTCCTCAGGCATAAAACATAAACCAGTGACAGGCTGGGAGATTTTCTCTAATATTTCATGATAAACAGGAAGTTTATTGTAATCTAACATTGATGAGTCCCTCATCATTCAGTGACTGTGGAAAATGTGCTGCTTGTTTCTCCACAATGATGTGTTGAAATGTCCCAGCATTGATTCGTCCCTAAAGCCAAAGTTCACTCATTCATCCTCAGAGCCTGATGGATTCTCTTCACCGCTGGAAACTTGATTTCTGACAGTTCAGAAATAATCGGCTCTTGTCATTTATTCTGTCAGAGGCTTGTTTGTTTCTGGGGACCCACGTTGGGGACCTGTGCAATATGTCCTTTGAGTCTCCATGCTGTCCTGTCCTCAGGTGATTGTTCTCAGGTGTGTCTCGTTCCCTGATTACCTTCTGTGTATTTAAGTCACAGATGTCTCTGTTGGATGTTCAATATCTCTCTGTCAGGCTGTCCATCCGCTTACCTGTTACTCCCAGTGTTGAGCCTTTGTCTTCTGCTCAGCTGTGCTGCCAGGATTTTGGACTTTGGATTGTGTTTTTGTACCATTAAACCGTTTTGGATATTTTCTGTAACCTGGGTCTGCTGTGTTCTGCCTGACCACCTCCACCACAATCCATGACATCTGGTGATCCTCTCTCCTCCTCACACTATTTAATTTTTTGGATCCAGCTGGAAAAATCTACATTTTTAATTATTTACTCAAAGCAGTTTGAAAACTTGTTTTTCTGTTTTAGTTTCTTGTTTCCAATCAACGGCTCTGTGAGCTACAGATCTCTCCATTAGACTTGTGAAGGTATTTCCTTTAGAAACATAAATTACAATGATTTCACTGCACTCAATAAACTTGGATGCTCTTCTGAGTTCAACACCTGCCTGCTACCTGTTGCCCCCTGACTCAGATTCATGGCCTACAGCGCCATCTAGTGACCAAAGAGGAAATGTATCACATGTTTGGTTCCTGCAGTGCCTGGAGACACGAAGGTGGAAAAAGCAACAGCTGATGTTACAGAGAGAGAAAGTTTGAGTCAGAAACCTTTATTTACTCTGATAATATAGCAGAGATTACAGTTTATATATTCATATATAACATGTAATAATTCTGACAATCGGTTTACTTTTAAAACCAAATCAGTCCCATGTCATTTCCAATCTAATTCTTTAAAATCATCCAATCCAATCTCTGACTGAGAAATGCCATTTAATCAATCAATCAATCAATCAATCAATCAATCAATCAATCAATCAAATGTTATTTGTACAGCACATTTCAGCAGCAGCCTGGCATCTCAAAGTGCTTCACGTCATAACAAACATAGAAACAAAGTCATGCTTTGGGAGGTTTTTGCCCAAAGGTTTACTGGTTTCACTCCTACTGGGTTAAATGGAACACAATAAACTGATGAGCTGTAAGTAAATCAATAAAAGTATTTTTATTTGTGATTTGATACATCATTTGATTTTACAATAAAAGTATTAATTCAACTTATTCATTGGTAAATTTGTTGTTTTATCTCCTTCAATTTAATGGCTTTAATTCCGCCTTATTTTGAAAGGCCAGGTTCCAGCTTCCTTCCTTCCGTCCTTTGTCTCCAGCTTGACTCCTGAGCTCAGTGTGAGCAGCATCCAGCCGGAGCTCCGCTCACAGAAAACAGCCACACTTCCTCTCCTCTGTCTCAGCGGCTGGTTCTTTAAAAACGGTTCAACTGCAGCCGGAGCGGCTTTTCTCTCTGCGTCTCCGCGGAACCAACGGACTTTTCTCCGCCGGAGTCCAGAGGAGGACCGGAGGAGAACCGGAGGATGAACCCGCCGTGCGCGCGCTGCGGGAAGATTGTCTATCCCACGGAGAAAGTCATCTGCCTGGACAAGGTGGGAAGAGGCTGCAGCAGCAGACAGGCTGGAAACCATCACATTATAGAGCGTTAAAAGTTCATTCCTATAGCAGAAGGGAGAATTTAATCAATAATATGATAGATTGATACTTTTTCACTTAAAGAAAATGTTGGAGTCTGAAAGCAAATTTCTTAAATGAATAAAATGTAAATGAATATATGGAAAAAGTAAATGAATAAACTGTCAAACTCGGTATTTGTGGATGTAAAACGTGATAATTTGGCATTTTTGTTTTTCAAATTAAAATATTTCTGTTTATTTCTCTCAGGTTTTTAAAGAATTCCCAAAATATACATCCATTATTTATCCATCATTGAAAAGATACAATAATGTTCACATTTATCACTTTGCATTTAAATCAGTTTTTATATGTGATAAAGAACAATGATATTCATTTGTAATTGATTTATTATCATATCTACAGAAACTACCAACATCACAGACTGGATGAGTTTTTACAGTGTTTCCTGCAGCTTCTTGCATAACAATGTTAAATTATGAATTGATCTCCAGCAGCTTCATGTGTTCTCTGTCTGTTCTGAGGGTCAGATGACACAGCAGCATGTAGGCGCCGCTCAGAACCATTCCTCCCACCTGCCATCCTCAAACCAACAAACATCTCCTGGTCCCAACTGGGACCAGCACAGCAAACCAGTCTGAAGTGCTTCTACATGGAGTCACTGGGCTGAGCGTTTTGGAGGGTCTGAAATGAGGAGATGAATCTTTTCTGATTGTTAGAAGCAGAGATTGAAAGAGGAGGCTGGTGAGAACCAGGTGAGAGTCAAAGTGAGGAAAGAATGGAGATCCTTCTGTCAGAAAAGCTCCACATCAGATCATCTTCAAAATCCCAGCAGAAAACAATTCATCTGTCCGTTTATTAAAATGCTCGGCACTCTGAGTGATTTCCAGCTGAAGGGAGATTTATGTGGGAGGAGAAATGTGATGGCGCAGCAGCTGCAGTTCCATTAATGTTCACTGGGGGCTGATTTTATCACCTGCTGAAGCTGACACCAGAAGAAGAGTGGCTCACAGAGACTCCTTCAGACTCCGACAGACCCAGAACTTTCTGCAGGCCCGTCTGGCTCTCGGACCGGACCGCGAGAAGCAGAGGAATCCCGTCACAGTGTCAGATGTCTGGGTTTCCCTGCTGCTCCAGGCTGAATCCCTGAGAAGTGAGACGACTGATGACTGGAAGAACCAGAGACATGTCCAAGTCCGACCTGACAAGTTCTGGCGTCTGCTGATGCCTGGAGGTTCTGACCCGCATTGGGAGAGTTTCTATGCTTTTGAAGATGATTGTACCGCAGGATAATGTGCAGAGCAGAGCTTGGAGCAGGAAACAGGAGCAGTGAGGTTTAAAATGAGCAGAACCTGGAGGAGATGTTCCGGAGTCTGGAGACGTTTGGATCAAGAGACTTTAAAAGTTTCCAGAAACTTTGGCTGCTTGGAGAGAAACATCCAGAAGAGAAACACAAGAATTTCTTCTTTGCTTTCTGATCACTTTCTGTCTCTGCCTGTCAGCTGAACCCAGCAGTCAAAGCTGTGTTAACATCTCTAACACAGAATCGAGTCACTTTCTAAGGATTTGAATAATCCTGATCCGGAGCAGATGGAGGAAGATCTGAGCTGAATGCTGCTGACTGAGCAGCCGCTGCTGGTCCAATCTGAGCAAATCTATTTATATCCAGGAACTCCTGTTTGCACAAACTACATGTACACTGATGGCCACACTTTAAAAACACCAGAAATCACTGCTACAGACACTAGCAGCTGTCGGCCTCTTGCAGACGCAAATTGATGAGCGGCTGAAGCTGAAGGACGTCAGCAGAGATCCAAGAAGTTGGAATTTTTCCTGACACTTTGAAACATTTCAGGATCTTGTTTGTTCTAGAAAATAGTGAGAAACTAGAAAAGTGTAGAACAAAACACTGAGTATCCAGATATCACTGTTTCTACTGAGACAAAGTAAAAACATCATTAAAGATCCAGAGATCCTGTTTCTGTCACACTGACATAAATTAGATATTTTTCATCCAATTAACTAAATAAATGTGAACAAATCATGTCTGACCTTCTGAAAATGTTGGTCAGCAGGACTTGAAGTTATCAGGAGGAAGTCTGACTCAGACAGACTGGATCTGACTGCTGGACTCGTCTGGTTTTGGTTCAGGAGGATTTCAGATCAGAGCTGATCAATAATCAGACATAATGTGGCTGTTTGTGTTTTTCCATCAGAACTGGCATAAAGGATGTTTCCACTGCGAAGTCTGCAAGATGACCCTGAACATGAAGAACTACAAAGGCTACGACAAGAAGCCGTACTGCAACGCGTGAGTAGAGCCGCGTCCTCTGATGGATCCAACATGGCTGCTGCTGCTGCAGCTGCTGATCCTGATGCTGCTGCTGCTGCTGCTGCTGCTGATGATGATCCTGATGCTGCTGATCCTGATGCTGCTGCAGCTGCTGCTGCGTCCCAATGTTAGGCTCCGCCCACCGCTGGCTGAGCCACTCTGATTATCTGAATCCTGAAGGTTTTTCTAGCAGTACTGGTTTCATGAAAACATGGAGAGATGATGAACCTGAAAGGGGGCGGAGCTTCCAGCAGGTTTGACGGATGATTGGATGAATCAGCTGGTGTTTTGGGGGCGGGGCCTGTGGTTCTGACCCGTTAGCTGGTATCGGTGAGCTGATCGTCATGATGATCTGGTATCTGTGTTGGTTGTAGAAAGCGGCTCTGCTGGAGTTGTAAAGTTTCCAGGGTTTTCCAGGGTTTTCCAGGTTTTTCCAGGTTTTCTGGTTCCTGAACATCAGAACATCATGAAGAGGTTTTATTCTTCTGCTCTAATCTAGAAAAATCATTTCAGTCCAAACATGGAAACAAGAGCCGTCTTTGTTCTGACATCACATCTCAAACGGTGGTTTAATTGGCTGAGAGGCGACCATGACCTCTGACCCCTCTGGGTTAAAAATCTGCTTTTCTCATCAGGTGGTTAAAGTTCGAACTTCAGTTAAAACTGGAGACTCTGAGTTTACATGACAAATAACAGAAACTGCATGAATGTAAACCTGCAGTTCAACACAATGACATCATGAAATCTCAGCCTGCTGCCTCTAACCCCTGACCCCTGACCCCTGACCCAGGCCGGCCCGAGGCACAAGCAAACTAAGGAGCCGTTTAGGGCCCCAGGGCCACTAAGGGGCCCTGAGCGGAGCTAATTTTTTAATTTTTGTAATTATCTCTGAACCAGCAGCTGATGAGTCGCTGTGAGCTCGTTTGCTGCGTTGGACTGTTTTCCCTGTTTTTCCTGCAGCATTCCTGCAGCGGTTTCCCGCCCCTCTGTTGGTTTGGTTTTTGCAGCTCGGTGCTGAAGTGGAGAAACGACGTCCTGTAATTAAAGCGTCTGTGAAGCCGCGGCGCTGCCCGGTTTTAGAGCTGGAGGACGGATCGGGCTCAGCTTTTCTTGGCTCTTTGTTGATCTGTGGCTGCAGCAGCAGCAGCTTCACTTCACGCCCGGTTCGGTAGGAAGCTGCTGAAACGGGTCAGAAAACATGAAGAGAACCAAGTGTTGTTTGGTCACACTTTAATTAGCAAGTTCGGAAAAAAACTGCTTTATTTAGATATAAAAATCCATTTTACATCTAAAACATTTTGGTATTTTATCTTTTATCTTAATATTAGATATAAAACCTGTAATGTTTCAGTTTAATCAATAATCAATAAAACGATGAACTTCAGAAAAATGTTGAGAAAAAAGATTTCCTGGAACAAACCCAAATGGTTTCCCCATCAGAATCAGACCGCAGCATCACAGAGCCTCCTCCGTGCCTCGCAGTGGTTCTGACTGGTCTCAGGTTCTGGACGCGGCTCTGCGAG